GTAAAACTATCTTCAATGTACCTAGTAGGAAGAGAAATACAAAATAAAACTATAGTGAGATTCTATTCTTAACTCAGTAAATAGGTAAACATTAAAAGAGTAAAAATATCCCCTGTTGACAGTGCTTAAGAAAAATCAGAGGGAAACTTTCTAAAGTCATTTTTGAAATGTCATCTGTCAATAACTGTAAATATTAAAAGACACATGCCCTTTGACTAAGCAGCCCATTATTTTTACCTAGGAAAGAAAAAAAACTAGCACACCTTTAGATTTTATTTATACACACAAACACACACACACACACACACACACACACACACTTATATAAGGCTGTTTTTTGTAGCATAGAAACACCCAAATGTCTACTAATTGGAGAATGCTGGATAAATTATGGTATACCCATGCCTTGGAGTTGTAAAAAGTATAAGTTGTAAGTTGTAACTATATCCACTAATCTGAAGAGATGTTTATAGTATACTGTAAGTATAAAAAGAAAGTTTCAGTGTAATGGGTAGAAAAATGGTTCCATGTTGATTAGAAAATAAATTTTAAAGTTTTCATGTGTTAATATATCTAAGTAAGACTATCTGAGGGAAAAGCCATTTGTCTGAGAATGAAGAAAGGGCTAGGAGGGAAAAGATCAGGCTACTAACAGTGGTTACCACAGGGGGATGAGAAAACAGATGGGATGAGAAATGTGAGATCATTGGATTTGTATTAATAAAAACCTGTATTTTTCCCGTTAAAATAAGTATACATCATCTTGTGCAATTTTAAAATAGAAAGTTTAAATTGTTGAAGCTATGGTGATGATATGAGGCCGATTTTGATGTTGAAAAATCCCAACAGGATGTGAAGGCAGTATGGTGAGCAAAATGTTGTGACTATTGAATGAGTCACACCAGTGGCTCCAGGGGCCTTGCAATTCTGCACTGTGGGTGGGCCTTTGCCAACTGCCAAGCATTAAGATTTGAAAATTGTGTCACATTGTGTCAGCTCACTTCCAGCTGATTTCAGTATGAGGCTTCCTCAGGGAAGAAGATAGTTTTGCTATCCTTAAGGAAAGACAGAAGATGGTGTATAAAGAGAGAAAATTGATAGAGCAAAGTTGTGGAGAGTTAGGTCAGGAGATGATGCAATCAGGCCTTTCTGAGCAGAGGGCCAAGAAAAGGGGAGGGACAGGTTTGTTTTAAGAAATGCAAGTTATGATGAAGGTTCTTCTCTTTTAATCCTTCAATAATAAAAACATTCATTGCCTAGTGCTTACTTTTTGCAAGAAACTGGTCTGAAAGCTTTATACATTTAACTAATTTAATATTCTAATAACCTTATGACATTGGTCCTATTGTTATCTTCATTTTATAAGGGATGAAATAACTGAGGAACAGAGAAATTGATAACCTAAAATCTTACAGCAAGCCAGTGATGGAGTGAAATTTAAACCCAGTATGGCTACTTATTAAGATCTCTCAACAACAGGCTTCTAATACTTCCTGGAATATACCATGTTATACAATACTTCAAGCCTAAGAAGTTTTCGGTTTTTATGGAATATATGCTTCTCATCCAATATTTCCATTTTCTTTTCCTTTTTTTCCTTGCCTAACACAACACCTGCCATTTTTCATAATACCATAGGCAATACTTTCATAATCTGCATCAGCATATTACAGTATTAGGTTAAACCATGTGAAACGGCCAATCTTCAACATAGTATCTAAACACTGGAATGAAATCTTTTCTCATGGGCCTTATATTTATGAAGTTCCTTAACTTCCTCTTCCTTATACTAAATCAGTTTTCCTGGGAGGACTTTGTAGACATTGGCCTACCAAGTATATCAGTATCTGTTCCTTGAAATGGCTTGTCACACTCGATTTGATCACTACTATTCTCAGATAAGACACTCTAAGTACAGCTTTGGTTTTACAAAGTAACCAACTAAGACTTGGACTATTCTCAGATAAGACACTCTAAGTACAGCTTTGGTTTTACAATGTAACCAACTAAGACTTGGTAAAAAGATCTCACTCATTTATGTAATATAATGAACAATATAAGCTGATGAATAAAAGCAGATCCAGAGACAGAGAAATATCGATTAGGCCATCACACCTCAGAGGAAAGGTAGGGAGGGTGGGGGTAAGGGGGAGAGATCAACCAAAGGACTTGTATGTATGTATATAAGCCTAACCAATAGACACAGACACCAGGGAGTGAGGGCATGAGTTGGGAGAATCGGGGGGGGGGGGGGGGGAGAGGCAGTGGGGGGATAAGGACACATACGTAACACCTTAATCAATAAAAAAATAAAAATAAAAACTTGGTAAGAAAGAAGACAGTTTCTTACTGAAATAACTATCACAATGTTCCTTTGTTTTGCACTCCAAAGATTTCACAACTAGCAATAAATGATGACAGTAAGAGTGGGTGAAAGGTATAGCTTTGTTCTGAAAAGAAGGGCAATCGCAATTATGAAAGAGGATACTGGAAAAAAATCACAGGGGTATTCTCAGGCATATCAATTTTAGTAACAAACATGCGGATTTAAAGATCTGGAAATAGATTCCATTAAAAATATTCGATACCTACATATGACTTGGAAAATCTTCAGGACCTACCTATTTCCAAGGGCTGCCCAAATACCGCAAAAGTACATCTACCTCAGTTTGAAGACTGTGAACCTAACTTTCTAAAATTGCTTTAATGATATCTCTTTAACTTGCTAAGGCATTTTTAATAATGTGATCTCTTAAATGGAATGTTAAAAGGGAATATAAACCAGATGTAATTAGCATCAAGATACAATTGAATATTTGTTGAAATTGACAGCCTACTTCTAAAATTTATATGGAAATCCAAAGGACCAAGAATAGGTAAAGCAATCTTGAAAACAAAAGGATATGGAGGATATGGAAGACTTAATATACTGATATCACTCATGAAAAAGCAGTGATAAGATACTGTAGCATGGGCACAAAAAATAGACCAGTGGAACAGAAACAATTCCATGCATGTATAATCATCTGATATATGAGAAAGATAACATTCTGTTATGCTGAAGGAAAGGAAATTTTAATGGTGCTATAAAATTGTGTCAAAAATTGTATTGACTCCCGAAATCTCACATCACACATATTTCCAGGTTAATTGTAGATCTGTATGTGAAAGATAAAAATATCAAGTTTGCAGAAGAAAACACAGGGAATAACTTCAATAGCCTTGGTGAAGTCAAAAGATTTTTAATGGATCGTTTTGAACCCCACAGACACATTATCTAAAATAAAAGCATAATATGCTAATTAGACCAGATGTCCTTCCAGATGTCCTTCAAGCCCAGGTCCCAGGTGCCAGAGGGAAGCTGGTGTTCCAGCTGGGGGAAGAAAGGCCTGCCTACTCCTGCAAGAATTTCATGCATTGGGCTTCTAATCCATAATAATAAAAGTGTAATATGCTAATTAGATTGGATGATCTTTCCAGATGAAACTCTGGCAATGGGGGCTGAGGCATAGGCTGCACTGTAGCTGCAGGGGCTGACCGCTAGTCATTTGTGCATTGAGCCTCTAGTAAGCTATAAAAGCTGAAGGCTTTCCCAGTATGCACACTCAAATTATAATTTTGTGATAGTATTTTATCATTTTATGCTGTGTCTGAATCAATGTTATCTCTAATGTGTAAAAAATAAGATTTGTTATTCAATAACACCATACTCAAGAATGAATATATATATATATATATATATATATATATATATATATATATTTGTTTGCTATTATTTGATTGGAATAACTATATTGGAAAAGCCACAGTTATAGATTGTGTGCTAGCAAATACAGTTAGATTTTTTTCCGTGTGTGTATAAATAAGTATTTTTTTTTTTTTAGTTATTTGAATTTTCCAAATTTGTACAATGATCCTATGAGGATCCTAGAGACCTGGTGCACTTACAAGGGCACTTAACAAGGGCAATAAAATAAGAAACTAATGACCTAATATACCAGATACAGACTAATTTTAAAGTTAGTTTTGAACCTTGGTCCATCTTTAACTTTACCTGAGTGGTAAGTACTCTTTTCTTGTATTCTAGCCATATAATTTATGTTTTTACACCTAAAAGTAACAAGTCTGCTTGAGATGGCTTTTCAATCCACACGTTGTTCTCTGGTGACTTATCTGCAGCTCAAACCTTTTCCTAGTATTACTGTTAAGAGACATGCCTCTTTCTGCTTCTGGTTTAGATAGAACTTTCTTCCTTACCAAGAAGAAGACACATACATGGCACAAACATGGCACAAACATGGCACAAACTAAGTAGAGCTGAAGTTTTAAAATTCTTTATTACATTCACTTTAGTAATCTTAGTAGATGAATATAAGCTAGTTAGCAATCTGGTTTGGCCACTGAAAAAATAAAACATTTTGAAACCTCACCTAACTGTGTAGTAAGCAGACTAGCACTAGTTATGTTTTCATCTCTTTAAGAAAACAGTATGATTCATCATAATAACCTTCACTGGTGCTCTATGGCCTTTTAACTATGTAGAGATTAATTCAAATTTCTGAGGAAATCCCAAGGCAACTGCAGCCAAACAGTATCTGGAAAGCTGTAAGTAGGACGCATTACATAAAAGCTCAAATTCACATTTTCTTACAAGGAAATTACAAACATTTAAGAAACTATTACTCTATTTTAATTCCCAACACAGTTATTTATAGCCTTCTTAGAAAATTTTATATATTAGGCGTAGCTGTTCTGTTATGAAGTTATAACTTTCTTCAATTATTCAAAAATGCAAGTAGCATTTGTGTACATAGTCAAGGTTTAATAGAAAGATAGTTAACTCGAATTTCTGAATTAGGAATAAAGAAAGTTATTAAACATTTTAAAACTGTACAATAATATAAACAATGGTTTGATAACATCTAGCACTAATGCAATAATAAAGATGAACTATTTTAAGACCAAACTCAATAGACTGACTTTTAAAGAACACAGCTATCTTAATTCATTAAAGTGTGTTTCACAGCTGCTATGATGTGTCTGGCACTGATTCCAAACATATCCAGCAATTCGCAAGGTTTCCCACTTCGAGGGACTCCTGACACTGCCAGCTGATGGACAAGGATGTCGGGCTCCCCAGAGACAGCTGCACACACTGCTTCTCCAATGCCACCTTCCCGGTAGTGATCTTCCACTGTGATAACCCGGCCACTGGTAGCTTTTGCATTGGAGATGATGGTGGCAGCATCCAGGGGTTTGATGGTAAACGGGTCAATGACACGGATGGAAATGCCTTGTTCAGAGAGACGGTCAGCAGCTGCCAAAGCTTCATGCAGAGTAACTCCGGCTCCAATGACTGTGACTTTGTCATTGTCACTGTGGCGGATGACCTTGGCCTGTCCAATCTCAAAATGTTCTTCTGGGGCATAAATGACTGCAATTTCTGGTGGGCCAGTCCGAATGAAGCACATCCCTTTGGCATTGGCAGCCAGATAGATAGCATGCTCTGTTGAGACAGCATCGCTCGGGTAGAAGACAGTGCAGTTGGGGATGCTTCGGAACATGGCCAGATCCTCCAGGGCCATCTGGGAGGGCCCGTCTTCACCAATGGATAGCCCGCAGTAGGAGCCGATCAGATTGATATTGGTTTGGGATATGGCTCCCATGCGGATATGATCAAAGGCCCGGGTCAGATAAGCGGCGAAGGTGCTGACAAAAGCAATGGTACGGTCGCGCGTGGCGCAGCCCAGGGCCACGCTGACCATGTTCTGCTCCGCCATGAAGCACTCGATGAAACGCTCGGGGTGTTCCTTCTTGAACACCTCGGAGAAGGTGGCGTTCTTCGGGTCGCCGTCCAGGACAATGACCCTCTTGTTGGCGCGGCCCAGCTTGGCCAGAGCCAGGCCGTAGGCTTGATCCGTGGCCACCTTGTCGCCGAGCTTGTAATCGGGCAGCGAGGTCATTTTTATGTTCCTGATGCTGATTTGGGGCGAGTCCTCCACGGGGGGTTTCGGGGCGAGGTTCTTGTTGGTCTGTATCTGACTCTCGATCAGCTTGACGATGGCATCCGCCCTCTCTTTGGGCATGGGCTTCCCGTGCCAGTTCTCGGCGTCTTCCACGTTCGGGATGCCCCGGCCCTTGAAGGTCTTGGACACGATGGCCGTGGGCTTGTTTTTGACCCGCGCCGCCTGCCAGAAGGCCTGGCACAGGGCCTCCACGTCGTGGCCGTCCACCAGGTAGGTGGTCCAGCCGAAGGCCTCGCAGCGCTTCTGGTAGGTGTCGGTGCAGTGCTCCAGCGGCGTGGGCCCGCTCTGGCCCAGGCGGTTCACGTCGAAGACCGCCACCAGGTTGTCCAGGCTGTAGTGGGAGGCGAAGGCCAGCGCCTCCCAGATGGAGCCCTCGGAGGACTCGCCGTCGCCCAGCAGGCAGAAGACGCGGTAGCTGGCCTGGTCGAAGTACTTGCCCGTGTACGCCATGCCGCACGCGGCGCCCAGCCCCTGGCCCAGCGACCCGGTCGCCACGTCCACGAAGGCCAGCCGGGGCGTCGGGTGGCCCTCCAGGTCGCTGTGGATCTTGCGCAGGCTCAGCAGGTCGGCCTCGCTGATGTCGCCCACCTCGGCCCAGGCCGCGTAGAGGATGGGCGCCGCGTGGCCCTTGGAGAGGACGAAGCGGTCGTTGTCCGGGTGCTCGGGCTCCGCCTGCTTGTAGCGCATCGTGTGGAAGAAGAGCACCGCCATGATCTCGGCGGCGCTGCAGCACGACGTGGGGTGGCCGGAGCTGGAGGCGCACGTGGCCCGGATGGAGTGGATCCGCAGGCGGTTGGCCAGGTCCCGCAGCACCTGCACGGTGTCCGCGTCCGGCTTGGGGTCCGCGGCCCCGTTGGCCACGGTGGCACTGTCCATGGTTCCCGCACAGCAGACGTTGGCAGCAGGCAGCTCCTTGGCCGTTAGTTAAGACAGTCGCGTTAGGTCAGGTGACGCCCACGTCCTTGCCCTGCCTCCTCGAGGTCAGGAGGTCAGCAACTGGCGGGCCAGGGCTCGCGTGCGTGCGTGCGTGCGTGCGTGCGTGCCAGACTGTGTGGCGAGACTGACCACCAGGATGCATCCCCAGCATCCAAATCCTTCCACCACGTCGTGACTGTGACTCTGCTGCTTTTTCTGCAGGTGACCACCTCCTTCCAAGCCCAAGGGAGTGGGTTTTAAATAGTTGCTTTGTTACTTGCATGTTCAGCATTATTAACAATGGCTACATTTTTGGATGCCTTTCCTCATGTTACACATCATTCAAAAGGGAGTTATTCTTATATCCATATGTTTTAGGAAACTATTCGTGAGGTTGTGGTTCTTTCACATACATTGCTTTATTTTGGAAGCCTCACTCTTTACAGCAGAGCATTGATAGAAATTATTCTAAAGTCGCTTTCAAATTATTCTAAAGCCAATTATGGAGATAGTATGTCAACATTGACTTCCTTAGAGCAATTGACAATTCCAACTTAGAGATAAAACTACAATGACAAATTAGACCCAAAAATTACAAGATCAAATCCCAAACTGCTCAGTGGCAGGGCAGCTAGAACTGCCATTTCCCCCAGTATACCTTAAAAATACTATTACTGTTACTACAAATATTAATTTTTTAAACAAAATTAATTTACTTTAGTTTATAAAACTGCACTTATGCCATTGAGTTCTACTGGGCAAGTTTTATGGTTTGTCATAAGAAAAAAAGAAACACAAGACAGTATATCATCTCCCATGCATTGATGTTAAACATCTTGATTCTTGAGTAATAATTCTTAACATTGACTTCACATTAAAATCAGGACACTGAAAAAAAAAAATAAAAACAAACCAACCAAACAAACACAATACTGGGTTCCACCCCAGACAAACTGAACTTGAATTTCTAGAAGTAGAGTTGGGAAGCTATATTTTTTAAATGCACGCATTGATTCTAAGTGTAGTCAAAGTTGTAAATAGTCACCTTAGATGGACTAGTGGTTCCTAACGTTGGTTGTACTTTAGAGCTATCTGGGGAGTTTTTAAAAATCTCATGTCTGGGATGCACTCTGAACCAGACGTTTCTGGGTGATGTGTCTGGGCAGCAGTAATATTAAAAGCTCCCCAGACAACTTCAGTGTTCAGTCAGGTTGTAAACAACTAATGTGGGGTTTTGCGACTCTTTATATGTCTCTTACATTATAACTCAGAAAAAAATGTTTTAAATGTAATCTGCTATTTAAACTAGTTTTGTTATTTTCAAGGATACATATACAAATAAATCATAATGGAATGACATTCACAAGATTTTAATACTTGCTGAAGGAATGTTGGAAAGAAAAGTCCTTAAGAGGTCATCTTGTATTCATCACTCCCAGTGCCCTTTGCAAATTAATGTTCACTTATACTTTTAGAAAAAGGAAAAACAAAGAAAAAGTAGAGTTGGACTAGGAGTAAAGATAGGAATTAGAGGGGGGGAAAAACATCCATTCATAGCAAACAACTAGGGAGTGACTGGGAAGCAGTTAATATTTACAAAGGTAGCTAACTATTATTTTGGCTGAGAAGAATTCTAATAAATCCAATTAGTAAACATGATAATTTAAAATGTTCTATGGGTTAGTGTTTATATGAAAAAAAAAAAAAAAAGACCAGAGAAATAGGATATGCTTTATATTTCAAGTTCCCAAATTCTTCCAATCATTTAAAGCAGTGGTAGGCAAAACTCATTAGTCAACAGAGCCAAATATCAACAGTACAATGATTGAAATTTCTTTTGAGAGCTGAAAACTGACTTCTGCACATGGGCCATGAAGTTTCAATCGCACTGTACGTGCATGCCTGTATGTGGTATTTTGTGGGAGAGCCACACTCAAGTGGCCAAAGAGCCTCTTGTGGCTCTCGAGCCACTGTTTGCTGACCACTGATTTAAAGTATTGCACAACTATTTCCCAAAGTATTAAATAGAAAATCTTTAACATTATAAAAGGTCAGTTTTATTAAGAAAAGAATGTGGTCTTAGAGATTTAATATCCTAGATAGTGAATATGAATTCCCTGTTGTCATTCTATAAGACTGGATTTTTATACTATAAATAAAATAATATTTTGTAAATTACATGTAAAGTATTTTAAAGTGATATTTTTAAAAGAAAGTCTGGAAAGTTTATTAATTTTTAAAAATATTTCTTTTAAGCATTTTCGTCTTTTTGTTCATATTTACAAGTACTAGTATACCATTGAAAATAACCATATAGGTATAGAGTATGCATAATTTGACAATGTAAAATTACATAATGTGACTGTGAACACAACTTAGCCAAATAAACCAAAGACATGATACCACATTCTATTTTCCCTACTAAGAAGAGGTTATCACTTATAAAAGGCAAGCCAAATATTTTTAAGTCAACCTGCCAAAAATTTAGTTGTCTTGGAAAAATGTCCATTAGTCATTTTAGAAGTCATTTTGGAAGACAGTCAAAAGTTTTTTGCCAATAGGAAGAAACTACTCATTTGTTATATTGTGTTTATCCACAAGGAGTAGGGATTAACAAACTACTGGGCTAGAAAGGTACGATGAGTTTATGACTGTCAGATATTAGGCATACTCTATACTTATAAGGTTATTTTCAATGGTATACTAGTACTTGTAAATATGAACTACTGGGCTAGAAAGGTACCATGAGTTTATGACTGTTATATGAAAAAGGTTCTGTGAGAAACTAGAGAATATAAACCCATCTAAAGGCATTTAAAATTTAAAAATTTCTGAACACTTCATTGGAAAAAAACAAAACAAAACATGTAACACGAAACATATCTTCAAGGTGCCAGTTTTGATCCTTGATTTAAAATCGATTTAAATTAAATGTTTTATCTTACCTTTGTGTAATTTATTTACTATTTTTTCAAATAGTGTGGGAAAGTATTTATTGTAGTGTATACTTGAAATAGAAATAAAACCTATCAGCATCACTAATAAAAATAGCTTTGGAGAGAAAATATAAATTGCAGAATCCATAAGTTCACTTTGGTTTTAGTGGAGGAAACAAGACACATAATGGTTACTCCAGAGGTCTATAATGTGGAAAAAATATATATACACATATTCACTCTGTGAAGTGAGTTGTATTTAGAGGTTGGGAACACTTAAGTTTACTTATATGTTATCTGAACTTAGTTAAGTTTTCTTAAAATAAAATTTTGTATAAGAAATATTCAAATGCTGAGTTCATTTTTTTCCCTTCATTTTTTTCCCTTTCATGTTTTGAATTAGTTTAATAGGCCACGTATGGAACAAGTGAGGATAAGATTCTTGTGTAAGACAATAGGTTTGGGGGTGGGTAATGTATTCTTGCAAGAATTGGAAATAGTATTCTAAATAGACCTGTTAGCTCAAGTTGTATTGTGGTTGTGTAATTTGCCACCAAGGCAGTTGGTTTCTTTTTCTTGAAAATTTATCAGTTTTTTCCATTATATATTTGGAGCTATATTATTAAGCACACATATATTTAAAATTGAAATGTTTTATCTTTATGAAGTAATCTTTTCTAACTACCATAATACTTGACTTTGTCTTTTTTGTTTAACTTTAATATTTCTATACTAACATTCTTTTCGTTAGTATTTGCTTAGCATACCTGTTCCATCTTTGATTTTTAAATTTTGTCTCCTTATATTTCAGATATCTCTTACAAACAGGACATAGTTGTGTGTTTTAAATCCAATATAATATGTTAATATTTTAATTAGGGCATTTAGTCCACAACCATATGGATTTAAATCCTCAACCCTATTTTTATTTCCCTTAAATTCCAGTTTCTCTTTTTTAAATTTCCCTGTTTTTAAAGTATTTACAAAAAATATTCCATTTATTTTCTCTGTTTGTGACCTATTCAGTGAGGTACACCATTTCTATTCTTTTAATGGTTACTCTAGAAATGAAGCCTTTATTCCCATTTTTTCTATCTCTGTATCTCTATCTCTATCTCTATCTCTATCTCTATCTCTATCTCTATCTCTATCTCTATCTATAACAAATACTTAACCAGTCTACACAAACACATATTCATTGTATTTGTTAAAGCACAGGAAAATATCTTAAAAGATGTCTTCACACTATACTGAGTGGCCAGATTATTATGATCTCTAAACGCATAATAATCTGGCCACTCAGTGTATATCCTATATAACAAAAGGCTAAAATGCAAATGTTTCCCTCCCCCAGGAGTTGAACTGCCATGTCCCTTTTCTGTGGCCAGGCTGGCCGGACTCCACCCATGCACGAATTCATACATTGGGCCTCAAATATATATAATAATCTGGCCACTCTGTATCTTACAGTAGTTACTGGGTGCCTGAGTGTTGGACTGGAAAGGAGGACCAGGGGGATTCACTCTGTCATTCCTGAGCAGCCCTCCTGGGAAGAGGCCAATCTCTGAGGCAGGTGCCCCAAGAGAAGAGCCTAGCCCGGCCCTGGAGTTGTGCACCTGAGCTGGTGCCCAGGACCTGCGTCCTGGCCCGGGACGCCATGAGCCTGGAGTTTCAGGCATCAGGGAGCTAAATGTCACCCTCCAGCACAAGCTCGGGGACATCGCGCTTCGCGATGACCTCTGCAGGGAGGAGGCTGCTGCTGGGCTAGGGCGTCAGCGCCAACGCGGGCCAAAAAGACGAGGTCGCGGTTTCCCGGGACGTTTTAGAGCAGCGTACTCGCCCCGCCCCTTCCGGTCGGGTCCGCCCGGCTTCTCCGGGCCGCACGTGTGTTCTGCCGGGATCCCCTGGGTGAGGCTGCCCGACGCGGAGTGCCGAGTCCCCGGGGCGCGAGGACGTCACCATGGTGGGCCCCTCCCGCACGTTTGAACCCGTTTGGCTCCGGAGATGGCTCCGATCGGGGAGGAATGGGAGGGGGGTGGTCCGGGGAAGCGGGGAGGGCGGAGCGCGCGAAGTGACTGTCCCCGGGGGAGCCCAGAGATCCGAGGCCGGGAGGAGGGTCCCAGCCCGGCGGCCGGACCTGGAAGCTCTGCTGCTGCTAACCCAGTCCTCGCAGGGCGCCCTGCCCCTTCTGCCCCCCCGCAGCGGATGATCCGCAGCTGCACGTTGTCTCGCTATTGGGCAAAACTCGTAAAAAGCTGCTTCCATCCCCCTGTGCCGCCCTGCCCGCTGGTGTAGACCCGCCGCCTCTTCCTTGGTCTCCAGTCACCGGCCTCCGGGACCCTGGCTCCCCCAAGTCCTGCCTCCACGCCCCCCGTTCCCAGGGCACTGAAACTTGTTTTCATTAAACACTGGGGTGTGAAAGAGTATTTATATAAAGCACACTTTACATGTTACCTTTTTCCCTGTTGTACTTTTCAGATTTACTTTTTTAGTAACTTTCAAGTATATACGATAGTATTTTTAACTGTGTTCTTAAGTCCCAGAACAAAATCATGTTATAACTGGAAATTTGTATCTATTGCCACCTATCCACTTCTCCACCCCCCACCTCATCTCTGACAACCTCCATTCTACCCCCAGTTTCTCTTTGTTTTTATTTTAATTTTTTATTTTAATAGGAATATGTGAAGAGAGTAGGCAAGACAGAAGCCAAAGTACTTTCTTTCAAAACCTAACCTCGATGAAATCTCATGGCTTATGTCCTGAAATACCTCTCTGTTGCTGTTTTTTTGAGTAAATTATGTTTTCTTCTATAGCTCTGAATTCTGAATTTAAAGAATAGTTTAGAATTTTCCGAAGTAATCACTAAAGATTGTGGGGAAAAGATACTTTCAGTACAAGTTTTCTGACTAGGATACCTTCTGGGCCAGAAACTTTTTGAAGTATGATGTAGTCAGTTATTCAGAACAATCTATTAATTATGCCTATGGAAAGAAATTATATTTTTCCTATCTCTTTGAAAGTTAAATTTGGTACTTTTTAAAACATAAAATGTTAATCTTCCATTGAAAATGCACTTTTAACTCCCCTAGTTTTGTTATATGTTTATGTTCTGTATGCTCTACAAAATTCATTTGGAGAACCTCTGACCAATAGAGACTAATTGCTTTTTATTTAAGAGATATTGAATAGACTGCTTAATAGGTTAACATTTTATTGACAGGGTTTTATTTCACTTTTCCTGTCGAAACATTTTGTTGTCTGTTTGTTTTTAATTGTAGGAAAATGTTTGAAATTTAGTGTTATTTCTGTGCCTTATTAAATATTTACCCTGCCTTGAGGCAACCTTCTTATGAATAAGTTATTATAAGGAATCATAAAGCACAGTTGAGTCAGAATACATGTTCAGTTTCTTTGTACTAAGTCTCCAAGATTCTTTACCTGAGATCTTCTAAAACCTGAGGACATTTTCATACTCTAAGGGTATCAAAGTATTTCTTGTTCTAAATAAAATTTTTAAATCTTTAAAGAAAAATTTTATGGATCTAATGGTAGTTGTTATGTTTTAGCAGCTTCAGAGAGCATCTTTTTTTCTTTTATGACTTATTTGTTAGGATATGAAACAAAGGCATCATCTTTTTAAAGAGCACATCTTTGTTTTTGTTATTGTTTTGGTTTTTGGTCTTGAATTAGTTTATCTCTCTGGAAAACAAGCTATTCCAAAATTTAGTGGCTTAATACAATAACATTTACTATAGCACAATTTCTGTGGGTCAGGGATCAGGCATGGTTTACCATGTCTTTGCCTCTAGGATTCTTACAAGGTTGTATTCAAGGTATAATACAATCTGAGGCTTTAGTTTAACAGGGGTGGGGAATGTCTGGCCCAAGGGCCGTATAAGGCCTGCGAAATCATTTGGTCTGGCTCCGCCAAGGTATTAGAGGTGATTTAATTAAATGTTGGACCAAATATAGGAGGCTAATTTAAAAAAAATATATTTTATTGATTTTTTACAGGAAGGAAGGGAGAGGGATAGAGAGTTAGATACGTTGATGAGAGAGAAACATCTATCAGCTGCCTCTTGCACCCCGCTCCACTGGGGATGTGCCCGCAACCAAGGTACATGCCCTTAACCAGAATCGAACCCGGGACTCTTCAGGCCGACACTCTATCCACTGAGCCAAACCAGTTTTGTCAGGAGGCTAATTTTTAAGTTGATAATTTTGTGTGGCCTACAAATGATGTTAAATATCCAAATGGCCCTTGGCAGAAAAAGGTTCCCCAATCCTGGTTAACTCCAATTAACATCTGGGGAGGATCCACTTCCCAGCTCGCTCACGTGGTTCTTGGTACATTCAGCACCTCTTGGACTACCTGCCCGAGGGCCTCTGTTCTTCGCTAGTTATTGGCTGGAAGCTTCTAGGTAATTGTCACATAGGCCTCTCCATAGGACAGCTCACTACGTGCTAGCTGGTTTCCATCAGAGTAAAAGTCAAAAGAGTAGGCAAGACAGAAGCCAAAGTCCTTATTTTCAAAACCTGACCTCGGGGTTGAAATCTCATCGCTTATGCCAAATGTTGTTTACTAAAAGTGAGTCGCTAGGACTACGCTCAAAGGGAGAGGATTAGACATGAACATGAATATCAGGAGGTGGGATTCTTTGGGGACCATCTTAGAAGCAACCTACCATGAGTTCTGAAAGTTTGTACTTGATACATATTTGCTAGGTAAACTTCATGCAACAAAAATTTTTTTTATACCTTCTTCACCTCCACACAAGCAGAGGCACTCAAAAGAATCCACATACTGTTTATGATGGTTTTACTCTTCCCTTATACCTGTAACCAATTGCAGTGCCATTCTGAGTCATGGTTATCAAGAAGCAAGCAACAAGTCTTTGTGAAAAATTTTAGTACATATTTGTTAAAGGAATGGGTACATGTGTGAAGGAGGAATTGGTGATCCTTTTATTCTGTCTGGAGAGTTTTCCAAAGGAAGTTACTGTGACCTGCGTCCTATGAAAGGACAAAGCAAAGTATTTTGCAGGCAGAGGTGACATGTACAGTCTCAAGAAGTCACTGAACAGTCAGAATGTTTAGAAAGAATGGGACGGTGGCTGTTTGAAGGAAGAGAGATGATGCTGGAGAAGTAGGTTGGGGGTATAGATTGTTTTCCATGTTAAGGACTTGGACCTAACTGTCAGTAGAGTGAGTGAGTGTAGAAAAGCAAGCTCTGTGACTTCCATGGAAAAAGACTAGCAGTGAGAACCTAAAGGCCATCCTAGTCCTGAAAGGTCATGAAACTGAATTAAAGCAATGATAATATTTTGAAGAGGGTATTTTAGAAACACTTGACCTTTTTGAATATTAGGTATGTTAGAGACTGTTAGCTGTTTCCTAATAGACTCTTCTACTGCAATTTATATTTTCTGAGAATGAAGATTTTATTTACCTATTACTCATAAATTTTGGTCAGTGGTATGCAAGCAGAAGACTGCAACTTCCCAGATCTTGCTCTTAAAGGAAAGGGGTATGCCTTTTGATTTTCTTTTCTCCTTCTCACTGGCCGGAGTTTAGACTTGTTAAGTCATCTTGAACTGTAGGGTGTCTCCAAAAAGTGTATACACACTTTAAGAGCTGATAACTGTTGCATGAAAAGGAAATGTATTTTAATAAACACTGCCTTTACATTACTCAAAGTGTGTGTATGCATTATTTTGGACACCCTGTGTGTGTGTGTGTGTGTGTGTGTGTGTGTGTGTAAAGTTCTAGCCTATGGATATTAGATGATAAGATGGAAGTAGCCCGTGGAGCAGAGCCTCCAGCTTCTACTTTTTACAGGAGAGAACTAAATTTATTCTGGGTTAAGCCATTGTTATTTTGGGTTTCTATTATAGGAAGCCAAACCTAATTTCTAAATAATAAATAGGTGTAATAGGATACAGAGTTATGTAGGAATAGACTTACTGAAAGGTCTAGGTTTAGATAATTGAATGAATTATGGTACCTGGCATAAGGCTTGAATGGGAAAATAATTTGTTTCCTTTGGGATTGTGCTAATTTTGAGATGGCTCCTATTATTTCCTCTGCTCCTGTTTTCTTATGTGCCCAACTTTGATTTTGTTTGATTCACTGCCCACTCTGTTCCATGTGCATCCTCTCCAGTCAAGCTCCTATTAATATCCTATGTTCTTTCTGCCCCCTTAACTTTCTTAACTGTGACACAAATGTCCAGTTGTAAGTCCCTTCACTCTCGGCATTCTCTGTACCTACTTTGAAGAGGGAACAGTTGAAGAGCTGGCTTTATTGACCATTTGTGTTTCTTTATTTTTTACATCATGGAGAATAGTTCTGGATATATCATTTCTGTTGTGACCATAGAAACAGACTGTTTGAATTATTTAATAGATCTGGCTTATCCTCTGAAACCTGGTATAGTGTTTCAGGCTTAAAGTATTCCTTTTACGTTACTATTTTTAACATTTATTTCTGAAGAAAATATTTTGACATAAATCAGTTATATATCTGACTTGTATGTGTCATGTTTTCCTACCTTGTAGCCTAAAGCACCAAAGGGAAAAAGTGAAGGCCGAGAAAAAAAAGTCATCCATCCCTATAGTAGAAAAGCAGCTCAAATTACGAGAGAGGCCCACAAACAAGAAAAAAAGGAAAAGTAAGTGTCTTTTTATTATTTGTATTGGTGTTGGTGAAAAGCCCATTTATACATTTCTTCTTCATTAGTATTTTTTTTTTTTAAATTATATTAGTCATGACCCGAGCACCAAGAGTCATGACTTGATTCCCCGTCAAGGGCATGTATCTGGTGTGTAGGCTCTATGCCTGACTCCAGTTGGGTGTGTGGGGAGGCAACCAATCTGTGTCTCTCACATCAATGTTTCTTTTTTCTCTCCCTCCCTACCTTCCTCCTTCCCTACCTCCCTCTCTCTCCCCTCACCTCCCTCCCTTCTTCCCTCCCTCCCTCCCTCCCTTCAACTCTCTCTAAAAATATCCTCAGGTGAAGATTTACTAAGTAAATAAATAATGAATGAATGAATGATATGTTAAGTAAATTCTGTCCACTAATGCATTAAAGATAAAAAAAAAACAGTGAACAAGAATCCAGCACTTAAAGATTTTACCTAAGACAGACATATAAATTTAAATAGGTTGTGATGAGTGCATTTTAGAAAAAATAAAATAATTATGGATTGGAAAGTGAGGACATGAATATGAAGAGGCAAGATCAGTGGGGACCATTTTAAGATATTACCACCTTTTGTTACTTTCTGCCTACCAAAGATACTTGGTTTTCTAAGGAACAAAGGTAGGCAGTTTGGAATATCCATACTTTTTTCACAGAACCCAGGATTCTTTGTACCACTTCCTAAGGCTTCTTTTTAGGAGAAGTAGACGGGGCAGGGATCTGTTAGAGTGCAGTGCCTTCATCCAGTGGTAGAGAATAGAGAATCAGATCTGCTGGGTTGATCAGATTGACTCTTATTGATGACCTTTGATTACTTAAAGATGTTGCAAGAGTGAATAGCAACAGAGTTAAGAGTTCAAACATGTTCTCATCTTCAGTATTTGAATGCTCTAATTTAGAACTATGTGAAATACTGCTGCTATTCATATTAAAAAAAAAATTAGTATGGTTTGAAGACTAGCACATTTCAAGCAATGCCTAATTTACAACAGTAGCAAATGGCTATTCTGTATAATGATTTAATGATTTTAGTTTTATTTTAGGATTTCCCAGCATAGCAGCATTTCATTTAGTACTATCATGTCTTGTCCCACGGAGTATGTAGTAAGGAATTCTAGATACCAAATGAAAATGACTTAGTGTGAAAAGTTAACAAAGGGAAACTGAGCATAATGGGTAAGAATCTAGGAAACACTACTAGTACTTTTGAGAATTAATCTCATATCTCTCTACTTTTCTTTATCCCATCTCATTATCTTCTGGTTCAGGTCCTCATTGAGTTCATTCAGCCTGTCCTCTCACTTGATTCTTCTCTTTAGGCTTATTTAAAAGGAATGAATTCTCAAAGCCATTCTCTACCCAGTTTTAAAGCATCTTTTTTTTTTAAAAATCAACTTTGAGATATAAGTAACATACAATAAAACAGACATATTTTAAGTGTACCGGTCTGGGGTTTTGATAATAAACTGGTGTAGCCCCATGGTCAGTGTATAGTGTATTTTCATTTTCCCAAAAGATTCCCTATGCTTCTTCCCAGTCAATCTTCACCCCAGCCTCAGGCAACCACTGATTTGCTCTTTATTTTGATAGAAGAGATTTGTCTGTCTGATTTTTTCATATAAATGAAATCATATTGTAGGTAATATTGTGTGCCAACTTTTTTCACTTAGCATAATGTTTGTGAAATTCATCCATTTCACTTATTAGTTGTCTTTTTCTTTTATTACTGAACTAGTAGCCCAGTGCATGAAATTCATGCATGGGGTTGGGGGTGGCGTGGTTGGCCCTCAGCCCAGCTTGCCCTCTCTCCAATCTGGGACCCCTTGGGGGATATCTGACTTGGACATCCCTCTCACAATCTGGGACTGCTGGTTCCTAACTGTTCACTTGCCTTCCTGCCTTCCTGATCATCCCTAACCACTCTGCCTGCTGGCCTGCTCACCCCCAACTGCCCCCCTTGTTTGCTGGCCTGCTTGCCCTAAACTGCCCTTCCCTCCTGGCCTGATTGCCTCAAACCAACCACCCCCGCCTCAGCCCTACCACCATGGCTTTGGCTGAGAGATCTCCTGGTCTAATTAGCATATTATGCTTTTATTAGTATAGGCTAGAGGCAAAATTCGTGCACTGGGGTGTGTCCCTCAGCCCAGCCTGCACCCTCTCCAATCTGGGACCCCTTGGGGGATGTCTGACTGCCAGTTTAAGCCTGATCCCACAGGTTTTGGGCCTAATCTAACAGTCAGACATCCTTCTTACAATCCAGGACTTCTGAAGGCTCCCAACTGCTCGCCTCCCTGTCTCCTGATGGCCCCTAACCGCTTCTGCCTGCCATCCTGATCACCCCCTAACCACTCCCTTGCCAGCCTGATTACCTCCTACTCGCTCCCTTACCGGCCTGATTATAATCTAACTGCTCCCCTGATGGCCTGATTACCCCCACCTATCCTCCCTGCCAGCCTGACCTCGCCCCCAACTGCCCTCCCCTGCAGGCCAATTTTATTCTGATTGGTCAGTTTCTATTCCAGTCAGCATCAAAAGCTCCACCTCCTATGTGGCCATTGGCTCATCACAGTTGACCCAGATTTGGTTCTGATTGGTTGTTTCTTTACCAGTCAACAACTCTGGGCCTATTAACTGGGCCTGAGAAGAAAGGTGGGGCTGATCAGCAGCCTCATGGAGGCTTGGAGAGAAATGGAGGCATGGCTGCTGACTAGGCCTAGAAAGAAAGAGAGAGAGAGGCTAGTGCTGATCAACAGCTGCCACAGCAGCTATGGATCAGGCCCTGCTTCTCTGTTCAGGCCTCTCTCTGCGCCTGATTCGCAGCCCCCTCAGCAGTCAGTGCTGGGTCATTGTGCTTGCAGCCATAGCAGTCAATGCTGAGTCGCCATGGCAACCCAGCACTGACTGCAGGACTGACTGCCAGTTGGTCGAATCTCCCCATCATTGTAGATGTGATGGAACCAAGGTTTTTATAAGGATAGTATTCCATTCTATGGCTATATAGTTTGTTTACCTATTCACCAGATGATGGTCATTTGGATTGTTTAAAGTTTTTGGTTATCATCAGGGTCTGCAAAATAAGAGTCCAGCACTGGTTTTTGTATAAAAAAAGTTTTAGTGGAAAGTATCTATGCCCATTCCTCTTGCATTGTCTGTGGCTACTTTCAGGCCATAGTGGTGGAGGTGAGTAGTTGCCACATGGTCTGCAGAGCCTAACATCTTACTATGTGGCCACTTCAGAAAATATTTGCCAGCCCCTATTATCATAAATAAAGCTGCCATTAACATTCATGTGGACATATATTTTCATTTTCCTTTTAGTTCCTAGAATTGGAATTGCTGGGTAATACGGTAAACGTTAGATGTATGTTTAAGAATATAAGAAATCAAGTTTCTAAGAGTTGTTGGTCATTTGATAGGTGTAATGTTTAAGTATGTAAGAAATTGTCTTATCCAAAATGATCATACCATTTTAGATGTTAATCACCGATGTATGTGTTATATTTGTTCCATATCTTCTAAAAAACACTGTAAGTGTAAGTAGTATTTCAGTGTGGTTTAATTTGCACACTTAGTATCTTACATGTTTATTGGTCATTTGATGCCTTTGATTTGATGAAAAAAATCTGCTGAAATCTTTTGTGCATTTTAATATTGGATTGTCTCTCATTAAGTAAGAAGAACTTTTGTATATTCTGAATACAAATCCTTTGTTAATTATTTATGTTGTGAATATTTTCTCCCATTCTGTGGTTAAAATTTCTTTTATAAAAGAGGCTTCATTTTGTTATCCAGTTTTTCAGTTGTTTAAAATAGGAGAGTAAATCAGGTCAGCTTTATTAGAGCAGGACAGTATTCTTATTGGATGGCATATAGTGTAGCAAACACGAGCTATACAAAGCTCTCTTCTGGGTGAATTAGTATTTAGAATACCAACAAAGGAGATACACACTGTCTAAACTGTTTTCTGATAAATGAAAACAGTTTTTTCTTTGTTATAATTTTTTTCAAATTTATGAACAGACATTCTGTTTTGTTCTTGTGGAAATTTAAAAGTGACAGTAATGTATTTTGGTCTTGTTGGCAGAACTCAAGTCTTCTAGAAGGTATTAATTACATCATCACTCTTTTGTGCACAATATTTTACAAAACCCATCTCAACTTCATAATCTAGTCAAGCTCTCCTTTCTATTTGTATAAAACTTATGTTTCAAACATATCCTTTAGTTATTGAAGAGCTAAGAAAAAAATTTTAATAACATTTCATTCCAGTGATTTTTAAAAAAGCCTGATGTTCAGTGCTTCCATATCAACAAAATTAATTTCATGTTTCTGAAAGAATGATCTTTGAATTAAGATTCTTGAGGCAGTTTTTCTTTTTGTTGTTTTGACAGATTTTAAAAACGTGCTTTGGAAATTGTCTAACATATTTATACACCTTTTCTTCCAAGGTTGAAAAATGAAAAGGCATTGCGTCTCAATCTTATTGGTAAGTGGATTTACTTATTTGACATTTTTGCTATAGTGAAATTCTGTCCTATACCTTTTTTTTTTTCCTAGTGAAATACTATTTTTATCTAAGTAAATTTTCTTTATCAGGCTTAATTAAAACAGAACAAAATAAAACCAGTTGTTAAACTCTTAGAACATCCTATATAATAAAGAGGTAATATGCAAATTGATCATCACTCCAATACACAGGATGGCTGCCCCCATGTGGACATAAGATGGTCATCACAGGATGGCCAGCAGGGGAAGGCAGTTGAGAGTGATCAGGCCAGCAGGGGAGGGCAGTTGGGAGGGACCAGGCCTGCAAGGGAGGGCAGTTGGGGGTGATCAGGCCTGCAGGGAAGGGCAGTTAGGGGCAGTCGGGCTGGTAGGGGAGCAGTTAGGCATTGATCAGGCTGGCAGAGGAGTGGTTAGGGGTTGGTCAGGCTGGCAGGCAGAAGCGGTTAGGGGCAGTCAGGAAGGCAGGCAGGTGAGCAGTTGGGAGCCAGCAGTCCTGGATTGTGAGAGGGATGTCCCACTGCCCATTTCCATTTGGTTCCGATCCTGGTGGGGGTCCCAGACTGAAGAGGGTGCAGGCTGGGCTGAGGCACAACCCCACCCCCGTACATGAATTTCATGCACCAGGCCTCTAGTCTATAATAATAAAGCATAATATGCTAATTAGACTGAGCCCTTTGCACCAATTTCATGCATTGGGCCTCTACTTGTTAATAATATCAAACTTTGTTTTTCAAAAATTGTTTGGTTTATAATCAACTACCAATCTACCTGTCTACCTATTTGCCTTTGTCTGTCTATTTATGGCTGAAGTTTAATTTTAGCTCCATAACCATTAGAATTATGGCCTAAGTATTTGTAAACAGCAGTCCATATGTAATATTTCCAAATATTCAGTTTATATCTCAGTATCACAATCTCTTCTTTGGGGGGAGGGGTGTTAAATTTACTGTTAGTAAATTTTTACTGATAAGCCTGAAATTTCAAAATAGTGACTATTAAGCTTTATTACTAAAATTGAAGGTGTTTGAACACTTCCCTAACACTCCATAAGGTAACGGAGTAGTATTTCTAAGTGGAGTAGGGCCAGTTCTTCATCTCTAATTTTGAGAAATCACTGCAAGTGACCCTGATGATCTGATTTACTCATAAGAATTAGCTCTTTGTATCTGGCAGATTTTGTACATTTAATATATTTACTTAAACAGGTTACTTAACCATTCTCATTTGTAAGTGGGAATAATAATAGTACTAATAATAGGATTATAAAGCTCTTGACTTAATGCTGGCTGCCTATAAAATGTTCTGCAGATACCATTTTTATTATTAATTTAATGTTCTCATTTTATTTTAGATAAGTTCTATCTACCCTTTGCTTTTTAAATACTTAGAACTTCATGTTCTGTTAAAGTATTCTTTAAAAAACATTTTGCATCCTTATTGGATAAGAAATATATACAGAGAACTATCCCTTTCATTCTGTTTCTTCCCCAAATTAAAATGTGACAACTTAATTTTTTACAGACTGGTTTAATTAGCTTTGAGCCCACATGAGGTTTTATATTTAGCATGGAAATAAAATTTGATACTGTTATAAACACATTGATGTTGAAAATTAAAATAAATAGCTCTTTACTTAAATGATCACTTTGGTGTTTATCTTGGTACTTTTTGTTATAGGTGAAAAGCTGCAGTGGTTTCAAAATCATCTGGATCCCCAAAAAAGAGGATATTCAAAGAAAGATGCTTGTGAATTAATTGAAAGGTAAAGGCTGGGCATGCTATGAGAAGAGAAAAGGGTCAGAAAAGGGAATTTTTAACTCTGGTTCTTCAAGAAACAGTTGTGTTCTGGATTTATAGGAGAGCAAATGGGCTTTATAATAAAAAGGACTTGGGATTTATATCCTAGCCTCCTTACTTTAGCGGGTTGTAACCATTCTGTACCTCACAGTGGTAGTTCATCCAATTTCTTGGGGTCAGTAAAGGCTTCTTGGGAATCTATCATCTGAAGTGATAGCTGAAGGATAGAAGTTAGCAGTTGAGGGCAGATTGAAAAGCCTCTGGCAGAGACGAATATCTAAAAGGCCACACCTGAGAGTGCCTTATATAGAGATTTGGCAGGCATCTAATAGGACAGAAATAACAGGCTCAAGGAGGGAGTTGTGACAGGTATGGTAAGTGACAACCAACTCATGAAAGACCTCAGATATCATTATGAGAGTTTGGACTTTATCAAAGGACATTCAGAACCATGGGAGGCTTTTACAGCAAGCACTGGAGATGATTGATCTTGTTTAAACTTTAGAAAGGTCGCAGTAGTGAGAATGAGGAAAATGGCCTGAGAGACATGGCATTAGCCAGGAGACTGTTGAGAGGCTTACGAAACAAACACTACAGGCAAAAGATGGTGGTAGCCTCTGCTTGGCTAGTAGCAGTGTGGGGAAAGGAAGGAAGAGGAAGGGAAGGGGAGGTTACAAGGAAGGGAGGAGTCTCAATCTTTAGTGAAAACTGATGTGGCATAAAGGGTGGGGAGGGAGAGAGGAATATTTATTCCTTATTTGGACAATCAGATGAATGGTCGTACTGTTTCTTGAGATAGGGAGCTAAAGAAATGGAGCAGGCTTGGTAGGGATGGGTGGGGTCAGTTTTGATGTGTTAAGCCTCTATAGGACTTTCAAACAAAGATGTTCAGGAGGTGGTTGAAAATGAGCATCTGTAGTTTAATAGATACTTTAATAGTAGGCGGTGATTTGGTTGCAAAAATTTTGAGAATGGTTGAGTTATCCAGGGAAGGTCTGAGTTCTAAGGACTTGAACTCAGAGGAATATACTAGTAAAGATTTAGACAGGTGAAGGCTGGGAATTATGTTTTCAATGAAATAGCATAAGCCAAAAATGCAGACTTTGTAACTCAGATCATTTTCTTATTTTTCAGGTATTTAAATCGATTCAGCAGTGAGCTGGAGCAGATTGAATTACATAACAGCATCAAAGACAGGCAGGGGAGGCGACACTGTTCCCGGGAGACAGTCATCAAACAGACAATGGAGCGGGAGCGGCAGCAGTACGAAGGCTATGGCCTAGGTGTGTTCATGGCCAGGCTCCTTTTTTTTTTCCAACATACATAGCAACATCAGATTTGTGGTGCACTTCAAAGGTTCATTATTCTGTTTAGTTTAGTTTGATTTTCTTCCTTTGATTTTCTTTTTTTTGTGAATATATGGAATCATTTTTAACTCATTCTTTTGTTTTTCTACATTTCCCAAAACTGTCCATTATGACAGTGACATCATTTCTTTCTACTATGAAAGTAAAATTTTTCTTCGCCTCTGGCAGGTACCTGTTTGTTTTGTTATAGAGTTACTATCTCCAACTGTAAGTTTCTTTAGAAGGTGATACTGTGTCCTTGTCCTCTTTATAATTCTTACAGAACCAAGCAGTAATTGTTGCAGTCATTCTTGAGAAATATAGAAATCCAATATTCATCCTGGGCATTTTAGCACTTTTTACCATTCCTAAGGACAAGTATGTTATTAGTTTATCAACACTGTCTGAAGAAAGGCACTTAAAAGGAAAAGGAACTTAAGACTTATAAAGCCCACAAACTGATGAAAACCCAAAGCCTGAATATAGCCTGCAAATGGTATTTATTGGCTTATTAATTGTTAATAAAAAAAAAATCTGGTGATTTCTCATGAAAAAAAAAATGTAGATTTCTGGCTTGCCTTAAAAAAATCAAATGGTCTGTCAGCATAATTTGCTATAGACTTATAGTATTCACATTTTCATTTAAAGGAGCCTTTTATGGCTTCTCATTGGCATTTCCAAATTTCCAGAATCACTGCTTGCACTTTGAGGCCATTATTAAGTAAAATAAAGCTTACTGGGATACAAGCACTGGGATACCACAACAGTAGATCTGATAAGCAAGAGTAGAATACTAAGTGGCCAACAGCAGGTTGGTTGAGATAATGAATAAAGGGATGGTTCACATCCCAATCGGCCCAGAGGGGGGCATTGTGAGATTTCATCAAGCTGTGCCGAATGGCTTGCAATAAAAAACTTAGGAATTGTTTGTTTCTGGAATTTTCCATTTCATATCTTTAAATTGCAGTTAACCTCAGGTGACTGAAACTATGGAAAGTGAAATTGCAGATAAGGGAGGATTACTGTAGATTTGTTTTCTTTTACAGATTCTATGCTAGAATTTATTATTTAATAGTGTTCCTTAGTCACCTTAAGCTAAGCCTTTTACTTTTGCAAAATTTACTTTCATGTAGCATAACAATGCTTTGGAATTTTGTTTTGCTTTGGATGATCTTACTGTTTGTCAATTATTTGTGGCATCTGATATAATAAAATTATAAAATGTTGTAATTTAGAAAACATTACCTAATGGATATAAATTATTTTCTTTCCCAGAGATCCCAGATATTCTAAATGGAGGTAATCTGAAAACCTTTAGGTGAGTCTGTCACTTTTATTGTTTCCTGAAACAACATGTCAAATACATGAGACATAAAATTTCTGTTTTTCAGTGTAGACATCAGAGCTGACAGAAAATCAGATTGTTTTTTTAACCTTTCCTCTTTTATCAAAGTAGAATTTTCCAAGTTGTGTTTATTTGAAACACCAGATATACACTGAAATGCTAGTGACATGAGACTTTTATTTCCTTTTCAAAATATTTTTAAATGCTTTACTATAGTACTTAAAAGTACCTGATCTCACTATTCCTCACCAATTCTTATTTTTAAAAAAGAAATAAAAGCAACTGATTTGATGGCTCAGAGTCACATCCCAGACTATTTTCAGGATCCTCTTTTGGAGAAGTTGTTAATGGAAGTAATACCAGGTGAAGGCTGAGTCTTCTGAGCTAGGTGGTCCGTGGTCTCTTTAAAAGTACTCAGACCAGCCTGCACCCTCTCCAATCTGGGACCGTTGGGGGATGTCCGATTCCTAGGGATTAGGCCTAAATTGGCAGTTGGACATCCCTCTCACAATCCTGGACTGTTGGCTCCTAATCGCTCGCCTGCCTGCCTGGTCGCCCCTAACTGCCTCTTCTCACCTCCCTCTCTCCCTCCCCCCACTGGCGTGATTGCCCCCAACTGCACCCCCCCCACCAGTCCATTCTCCCCTCACTGTCCCCCTGCCACCCTAATCACCCCTAACTGCCCTTCCTGTTGGCCTGGTTGCCCCTCATGTCCCCCCTGCCAGCCTGGTCATAGGGTTAATTTTTTATGTTACCTCTTTATTATATAGGATTACTTTTTTTGCCTGTAATATTAATTAATTAGATATATAAATGTGCTCTTTATTTCTAAAACAAGTATGTTCTGTCTCTGAAAGAAAGCCAAAAAAGAGAAAAGAATTTAGCATAGACTATTTTTAGAATTGCTAGAGTTCAGTTCTCAAAACAATCTTCACATTGCCCCTCAAGTAAATAAATGTAAGATTGTCACAGTAAATGCTGAGATTGAAAAACTCCGTTTTCTATTATAACCATAAAAGATGTTTGATGACTGAAACTTATCTGTGACTTACCACTGTGTGTGAAAAGAAAAACTTTTCTGACTGTGTATTTTGGAGAGTAGCCAGGTATGATATAGTTCCTACTTGTGAGACTCTTGATACCAGAGAGTCTTATTTATGGAAATGTTCAGGTTAGGGAGAGTAAAAGCATGGAACAGAGCTTCCTTGTAATTTTTGTATAACGTTTTCCTATATTGCTTCGGGAGTTTTGAACATATGGGATTCTTTCTAATGCATTTATATTGTTTCTTTCTAGTGCATTTGAATCTGTTGTTAATTTACAGATTTTGTTTTACTACTTTCAGAGTTTTAAATATTGACTTTTTCTTGCTTCCCATGTCACAGCCTGACAGTCATCTATTCTCTTTCTTTTGCATAGGGAATGGGATTTTGATCTGAAGAAATTGCCAAACATTAAAATGAGGAAAATGTGTGCTGATGATGCAGTTCCCAAGAAGCACAAGAAGAAGACTACCACTCCAGTGGACAGGGATCTGGGGGAGCTACAGCTGAAGGAGGAATCAAGTGACTCCGATGAGGAAATGACTGCCGTGGCCTAGCTGTCCTTTACTTGAGTTGAAAATGGGTAATTTGAGAACCTCAAGTTACATTTGAATTTATTATGTTAAAGAATTGCCTAGATACAAGAATTTGCTAGTTAGCTCATCTTACAAGATGAGAATATCATTTGCAGCTTAAAAAACAATGTTATGATTTTTATTTAAAAATGAATGTTGCTTTTTGTTTACATTAAACTGCTAAAGTAGAAACAGTGATATAAAATAAAATAAAATAGTGACCTTTAAGATCGATTTTATCTGTGCCAGGAAGGAGCATTATGAATAAGGACAAAAAATGTTTTTGTTCTTTCCCTCCTGTTTACTTAGATCACCTAATCTCACATTTGGGGGCATGGACAGCAGCCTGTTTTCTAAAAGGGTCCTGTGGGTCCTTCAGCAGTGATGATAGCAATATTGCCTTTCACTAATGTTCCTCTTAAACATTAAATCTATAATATGGAATGCTTATCCACAAATGGATTGTACATTACTTTTATTCATTACCTTTAAGCCAGAGCTAAATGGTAAGGAAAAAAAATTCAGTGGCTATTCTTAGGTTGATCTCTACACATAATCTGCTATCTTTTGATAAATTGAATAAATGATTTCAGGGTAGCTCTTTTTGTTTGTATATTTTCTACTTTCTCATTGTGAAAAGTGATAGGTTTTATTTGTGGAAACAGACCTAAAGATTAGAGAACCAATTTTTTCAATTGTGTTATTTTTTCTTCTAAGAGGTAGGTTAAATGAAACTAGTATAACTCAATATTTCAAGTGTCATGAATATCATGGATGTAGTAACAGGTTGTTCTTCACAGAACTTGCATGCAAGTGTCCTTTAGTCTATTTCTGAAGGATGCAATGCAAGTGTATTGGAATCTTTTCAAGAAAAAGGAATAAAACATTATGCCATATGAGGTTAACTAGGTATCAACTAAATTATGTTAACAATTTATTAAAAATGTTATAGATTTTTTACTTTTAAGAATTAAAAATAAAATTTATTTTCATAATTTTACTTCTAATTATTTCATTTGCAGTGATGTAACTGCTGCTGACTTGCCTTTGCTTTACTTATCTGTGTGAAAGTATGGGTTATCTATGTTAGTAAAAGGGTAATATGCTAATTAGACTGGGAGACCTTCTAGATGTTATTCCGGATAAAACCATGGTGGCGAGGCCAAGGCAGAGGCAGTTAGGGGTGATTAGGCTGGCAGGGGGGACAGTTGAGAGCGAGCAGGACAGCAGGGGGATGGTTGGGGGTAAGCAGGCTGGCAGGGGGGGCAGTTGGGGTGAGCCAGCTGGTGGGAGTTGGGGGGGCATGGAAGGGGTGAGCAGGCCAGCAGGGATGGGCAGTTGGGGCAGGCAGGCTGACGGGGCAGTTGGGGGCGGTCAGGCTGGCAAGGTGGGGCAGGCAGGGGTGATCAGGCCAGTGGAGGGGGACAGTTAGGGACCATCAGGCCAGCTGGGGGAGGGCAGTTGGGGGCAAGCAGGCCGACAAGGGGGCCAATTGAAGGCAAGCACGCTGGCAAGGGGGGTATTTAGGGGTGATCATGCCGGCAGAGTCATTAGGGGCTATCAGGCAGGCAGGCAGGTAAGCAGTTAGGAGCCAGTGGTCCAGGAATGTGAGAGGGATGTCTGAGGAGTCCCAGATTGGAGAGAGTGCAGGCCGGGCTGAAGGACACCTCCTGCCCCTTTTCAAGAATTACATGCACCGGGCCACTAGTGGTTACATAAGAAGGTCTCCATCTCTTTAATCATTGGAAAATTTCCTTTTTGGGGGTATTTATAGTTAGTCTCAAATAGCTATAAAAACTGAGTCAGAAATTACAGTAAAGAGAATAAGTGTGCTATATGGTCTGATATTTAAAAAGCCATACTGTCAGGTGAGTAACTTGTGAAATGATAATTATTCTTCCCCTCAAGCATTTGTTCCTAGTTTTCCCTATGCTATCAAAGCAAAAAAAAAAAAAAAAAAAGTAACAAGATACAGTGCTTGGAACTAGAACAGATAAATATTTGTTGAATGATTGACTTTATCATCTATAACCATACTTGTCATGTCACTTCTTGTTGGACCAAAGTATATAGCCTAAGACATACTTTGTCTTTGAAGTAATGCTTTTAAGTGATATACTTAGCCATTTTCTCTGGAACATGTTCTTTCTGCAGTAATAACTTGTGCTGTCTTATCTAGACTTCTTTTAGATCAGTCTGTCTTTGTACGATGGCTTCTGCAGTCCATGGCTATGGAACAGAGACAGAGTAACTCACTTTGTTAGCAGCACTTCTGTATAAACTAGGGCCTATCAAAGTTGGTTTTTTTTTTTTTTTTTTTGTAAGAGCCAAATAGTAAATATTTCAGGTGTTACAGGCCAGGTGTACTTTCTGTTGTAAAGTTTTCCAACCGCTGCGCTAAATCAGTGAGCTGAACTCCCATGGACATAGGCCAGTGATACATTTCTAAGCTCAGAGCAACTAACTCTGACATCTGTGGTCTCTTTTCCTAATATCCTAGTCACTTCTTCGCCTTACAAACATAAGTGTTTTTCTAGTTTTCTAGCCTCAAATACAAGCTTTTTCTACTCCTGTCCCTTGTACTTCGGAAGCAGAGGTTGGATAAGTGTCCTCTTTGCCCTACTGCCACTTTCAGTAATTTCTCCCTATTCCTTGCAGTTCTGTAATTCAAACCTCCCTCCCTCCTTCCTTATTTTCTTAACTGCTGACTTGCTTATTCCTTGAAGATTTTAGCTCTTGGCTCAGTTTTTTTTTTTTTCTCTCTTATTTCAATAATGTTAAATCCCAGTGGCCTTGTGAATAGCAGATCTCACACTGTGTTCTTGAAGTTTCTCAGCCTTTTTCTCTCTCCCACCAGAAGCCTTTAGGTGGTCTTGCCCACCCAGATCCTTAGCATCTGAAGTTTCTGTAAACTTGACTTTGAGCATTTCCTTCTCCATTCTCTGCCTCCTATCCCTCTCCATTGCTGAAGTTCCTAGTGGCTTTTTTGCATGTGCTCTCAATTCCTGCTCGAGTGCACAGTGCTCCTCTTTCAACACCCAAACCAAGGAAGGCGCATGTAACTGCCCCATTCTACCTGCTCCCAAGCAGCTCACCTTGCTGGAGACTGTCAGACAGACCATTTTCCCATTCATGCTTCCAAATCTCAAGTGGATTCTCAACACAGTTTAGCAATTCTATTGGGTTTCCCCTAAGAAGTTCATTTTTCAACTATGAGATTTTTTTTTTTTTTACTGCATTTTCATGCTTTCTAGTTTGACTTTATTTCTACCTTCCCCATTGTTCAGCTGTTAACTTTTTATACATAATTGAGAAAACGGAAACTTATTTCTTTAGACTTAATGGATATAATAGGTTTTCTCCTTTCAAAAGGCCAGCTTCCACCCCTGTTCTGGATTCCACTTCCTATTGCCTTCTCAGGAACCTTGGTTCTCCCCAAGTTTTTCATCTATTTTCTCAAGCCAAAAAAATTGCATATAAATTATCATTGATTCTTCTCTTTATTTCCTGCCCTCCCCTCCAGCCTAATGTGGGTATTTCTGGTTGCTTATTTCCAAAAAGAATGTCAAATCAGCTCATGTCCGGCCATCTCCACTGGTCACCCTCCCCTGAGCCACCATGCCTTTGGCTTCCTGGCACCTTCATGCTACCATTCTTGCTCCACTTACCCATTTTCCAGAGCCGTGCATTTTAAAAATGTGCACTAAGATAAGCTGCTCCTTCGTCAGTGTTGTTGCGGTATCATTCCATCACATTGTTAATGATGTGTCTGTTTCTTTAATATATGATTTTGTTTCTAATCACTTTTTAAGAAGATTATACTTTTGTAGAGCAATTTCAGGTTTACATCAAAATGGAGAGAAAAGTAAAAGAGATCTTCCATATAGCCCCTGCCCTCACACACGCGTAGCCTCCCCCATTATTAACATCCCCCACCAGAATGGTACACTAGTTATATAACTGACAAGCCTACAATGACATCTGTCACATTTTGAATGAAATTCAGGTTCGGAGCACAGCCAAGAAGGCCTGCAGTGATCCTGACTGCCTCTCCAACCTCAGCTTGTTTCCACTAGCCCTTTGGACACGCTGGCCTTCTGCCCATTCCTCAAATACCCAAGTCGTTTCCTGCAGTGGGACAGCTCTATGCTGAAGCCTGATGACCACTCATGTGGCCACTTGGGCCAGGTTTCATCACAGCCAACCCAAGCTTTAGAATGCCCTGTGGTCCTCCTGGAAGATGATAGGGGATGCTCGTGAGAAACTGCCACCGGCCACTCCACTTTTGCCTCCCTGTCTTACAGGATGACCTGTGGCCCAGTTTGTCATTGCCTCCTGGGTTGAGATGAGGTAGCAGTGTTTCTACCTGCCATCTTGTGTAGCTGCAAGCTATAAAATCTCTCAGCTGCATGTGGAATCAGCATCTCAGGAACAGTGGGCCCCAGCCCATAATTCCATTATCCTGTCATCTGGCCCATTTCTTTTTGTGTCTTTCCTTGGGGCAAGATTCAGACAGCTGGCTCCATAGTTTGGGTTTCTTTTGCTATCTCTAAGTAATGACCTGTCTGACCCTAACAAGGGCTTGGGTTTCTTTACCAGCTGAACCTTGCTTGGCATTTCCCAGTCAAGACTTTGGCACTTGCTGTTTTCTCTGTCTGTGTTGTCATTTTTAAAGCAGGGTTTGAAAGTTTGTATAATTATTTCTGTTTTCCCTCATTGGTGCATGTTATCAGTCTCTACATTGTCATGGGTTAGTCTATGTTGGTCTTAAAATATGTTCACATATCTGAATAACTCCCTCATTTGAATGTTGAAGATACAAATCAGCAGAAATTCTGGTAAATTAATAAAAAACTATGGAAACCACAAAAAAAGGTACGAGTCACTTGTTTAATGTACAAAGTCTTTCACAGATAATTATATTCTTTTCCTTAATATGTCTTAATACACATTATTCACAAAACAGTAAAGTATTAATGCAAGAGAATTAGGTAAAACCAAAAAAGTACAAATGCTCAACTTCAAAAATTGCACAGTCAAAATAATTGTTTCTTGTTTGTTTAAATGCAAAATCCAATCTCAAAGCGGACTTTCATCAGATATGAGGAAACAGCCCAAAATAACAGGATGTCCTTTCAACTCTATTGATATGTAAAATAGCACCTTTGGGCTGATTTAAGGAAAGAAAAAAGGTTTTCATCTTTCTTAAAGTATGAGTCCTACACCATTATTACATAACAACTACAATAATGATAATGATGAGTTTTAATAGCTCCACTTGGTTCCAAAATATTCATTGGCAAGGCAAGGCTAGGTAAACTGTGCCAGGCAGATGGGATAATCTTCCCCATCTCACCCCAGTGACAGTGATGATAATGTCATGGCTCTGATGAGCTAATTTCCCAACCAAAGCCTCACTGTTTGAGGAGAACCCAAGGACTTTTTGCACAAGATAAATGTAACTATGGGCCATCTCTCTGGGACTAGAATCACATGTATCAGCAACTCAGAGTGAAGATTTAATCCTGGGGCATTCAGTATATATACTCTTCTTTCAGTTCTCCATTGCTATCTCAGGGTGATGGGATCATTTCTGGTTTTTTTTTCTTTTCTATTTTGTTTTGTGTTTTTTACTTAAGCTTTGTGGCCCTTTGCACTTTACTTTTAAAAAGATACCCGAATCTCAATCCTTTATAATTTAATCTTTGATCCTATACAATAAAAGTGGCAGTTCTTTAAAAACAAAATTAACAGCATAAATCTATGATGTATAGGATGGGTAATACCACAGGTTCGTGATTATAAAAATCCAGTTTTGAACACAACTTGTCAGCTCACTCTTCAGTGTCAGTCCTTGTTTCAATCCCATTTTGTTTCTTCCATGAGCAGGGAAGCGTGCTTCGGAAGAAACGTCTCCTGGAGAGCAGCTCTTCTCTTTGAAGGGTATGTCCAGTCCACACAGGCACATGCCCCATCGCCTCACAGAACACAGAGGAAGATAATCCACAGTAGGTTTCAAGTGCACATAGCTACTTACTAGTAGATTGAACCATGAACAACCATTGCAGAAAAAAATTTTTAAAAGATTTAAATTCAGGACTTCAGGGTTCAAAACGGTCAGAAGAATAGCAGAATAAAATACTGTTAACCTGCTAGGGAGCTCTGTTTTTTTCTCATTTAAAAAAAAAGTCAAAGCCTGTACAATTTCATGTTGAGAATTTAGGTATGGTTTTAAAATAATGCCCTATCATCTTTTGTCATTCATTCGGTAATGCTCACCTTCACTTTTCATCCCAGAAATGTGTTCTTAGTGTTGAGGGAAGCCCTTAATACACGGGACCTTATCTTAGCCAGTCATCTGCCGCTGTGAAGTGAGCTGTGCACTGATCTATATTGCCTAGGTCTGCACAGTATACACACAGTATTTGTGGTGCTAACTATCCTTTTCTTTCCAGAGCAAACAAAAGAGAAATCATTTCTTTGTTTGCTGGTGGCTAGGTTTTTCCACCCACGAATATTGGTAAACAGCATGTTGCCGTCTCTAAACCATAGGAAACATGGATTAGTAAAAAGCTTAGGAAAATTAACAGTTCAGTTGAATCAAGGTTAATCCCTTGGGTGGAGGGGGGCATGGAGTTTAGTTTGCTTAAGGTCCTTATTTATTTATTTATTTATTTATTTATTTATTTATTTTATTAACACCGCTTATGTTCTTATTCGTACAGAAATTTTGGTCCAGGTTAATTATCTCAACTTTGTTTTCTCTTTGCCTTTATTCCACATCCCTACAATACGTCTTAAGAAAGATGAGTTTTAAACCTTCTGTTTCCTGCCTGAATGAGAATGTTTTTCTCATGTATGCACATGGATACACACACACACAGGGTAGACATTGTTTCCCTTTATTTCTAGGAATCAGGACTGTTGGACTCAGTGTCAGCCACTACTAATAGTCATATCATCTTTCTCATGAAAAGGTTATTTCTTTCCCCTTTTTCCTATGATAATCAGTGAAGAACAAGCACATGGATAATTACAAAGTGCGTCAATGTGATACCCGGATTTGTGCAATGCAATACCCATGCTTTGGTTCTTATGGCCATCACGGTTGTCTTTTCACAATAATAAATATGACAGCTAACAAAAATAAATCACCTCTTTAAAATGTAAGACATCTTTACTTGACAGGCCACTATATCTATAATCATTAGTCTAGCTCACTGCAACATCCATCATTCACACTTCAGTTTTACATGAATATGCAAAGAACACAATAATCAACTGAACTGTCAAATCTAAACAACTCAATTTATTACTTATCACAGAATTCCTCGAATGTTTTTGCTTCCCAGCTGAGCAAGGGAAATACTGTCAGCTTTTAAAAATAGAGTCTAAATGCTTAACTATTCATCTGTCAAGTTGACACATTGTATGGATTTTTTTTTTAAAAGCCTATGCATTTGACTTAATAACAAAATATTTAATTGTTATTTTCCCCTTCAGAAGTGCTTCATCATAGCAAATAAGTTACTTTCAGAACCTTGCCCCAAGCAGATTGCTATATCTTTCTATCCTTCCGTTTTTTCATTCTTTAGTAACTTCATCTAACTTTTCAACCAGCCTGTTTAATCTGATTAATTTAGTGCTTTTTAATTATAACATTTTGTTGAGACTTTGAGTGAAAGAGTGAATTAAGCTGCTGTTTTGAAGTATTCAACTGTTGAATGAATCAGAGGCTCAGTCTCCAAGTTTAGGGCTGTGCTAAGCCAATATGGTTAATTCACATTGAGATAATGCTGTAAGGATAAAATACATACTGAATTTAAAAGACGTGGTTCATAAAAAGAACTAAACTACCTCAATAATTTTTTATTAAGAGAGAAAAACATCGATTTGTCGTTCCAATTATTTCTGCATTCATTGGTCTATTCTTGAACGTGCCCTGACCAGGAATCAAACCCACAGGATCAGGCTCTAATCAGCTAAGCTACCCAGCTAGAGTCACTGATTTTTAATATTGACAATATGTCAAAATAACTTGAATACCTAGGGTCAAATAAAAGACATTCTCAAAATTAATTCCATCTGTTTCTTTTAGAAGCTAACAGTAGGGCTGCTAAAAAATAATAATAATAATAATAAATTTACACAGGTAGCCTGCATTTGTAGTTCACATTACACTTATGCTAGACTACACTGTTTTAGAGGGTCCAGATAAAATATGGAACCTGAGACTTGATTTCAACTTCTCCGGATATTTAACAGCCAAATAATTCCCCCCCCCCCAAAAAAAAAAATCTCTGAAAAATCTTTTGTTCACCATTTAAATAGAATTCCAAGTATTAATATCTTCAAATGTATACTGTGTCTTTTAAAATCATGCATCTTGTCAAAACAATTGGACTGCACTAACACCATCAAATTCTGTTCTCTGTCAAAGTGTGACTATCAAAGATGCATCCTCCGAGTGTGCTTCTGATGTGCCTGAGGGACAATGTGGACAATTTCAAGCTTAAAACCAACTATGCTTTCTATTTCCAGATGAGATAGTATAATATTACGAGACCTTAGAAGAAATACACATTGCAATTCAAGTCTTTATTCTTAAACTCTCCCCTGCTACTCTGAAGACTCATGTCCCTTTTGATTTGATGGATGAACGTTGCCTGAAAGTATTCTTTGCTCCGACGACTTTTAATCCTTTCAGAGACTACTCTTCAGTACACTTGTCACGTTTCTGTATCACTTTAGACTCTGTTTCATGGGGTCTTGGTGATTTGGTGTCTTCTCCTCCTTTCCTTTCTACGCCAAATAAGAGAAACGAGTCAGTGAGAGAAAGAGGAGAAGATAACAGAAAGTGAGTAATTCAGGGCCATCTCTGTCATTTGTTGTGGCCAAGGATTGGAAAGATCTTCTTTGAAGGAACTCCCACCTGTTGCCTCAGTCACACGGGCATCACATCCGGAGGGCTGTCTTCTGCGGAGGGCAGGGGATTTGGACCCGTTTGTGTCACAGGCACCACGACCGTATCCTTGGTGTCCGTGTTTATGTTACACGAGAAGCTCTTCTCCTGCTTTTTGGCAGTGTCTGGGCAGTTCTGCACAAAGATTACACGGTTGTAGGCCTTCAACCTGCGCCACAACTGGACGTAGGCTTTACACTGTACATACATGAAGACGAGACCTCCTGTGAAGCCGATGGCCACAACAACCAGTTTTGTCCAGAATGGCCATTCTAGGACACCTTGAAGCAAAAAAAGAGAGAATGTTATCAATGGATTTGGTAGTCTTTTCCTCCATGACCCTTTCAAAAGACCATCCCTGCCTGCTGTGGCTCAGTGGTTGAGTGTGGACCCATAAACCAGGAAGTCGTAGTTGGATTCCCCCATCAAGGCACATGCCCAGGTTGCTGACTCTTTCCCCAGAAAGGGGCGTGCAAGAGACAGCTGATCAATGATTCTCTCATCATCGATGTTTCTATTCCTCTCTCTGCAATCAATAAAAACATTTAAAAATAATTGTGGGTAAGGAATAGATTGCTACATAAATGTTAAATTTTGTAAGAATTATAACCTGATTGCTTAATTGATTTCAAATATTCTAAAGATGTTAAAATTGTATGTGAAGAAATTAATCTTTCCTACCACTGTAATGATCTCTCATATTTTTCCACCTATTATCAAATATTGCATTAGACTTTTGATATATACTTTGACATTTATTCCTTGTAGCTAAATGTTTAAGGAGGTCAGTGAACATACTGAGTGAAAGAATCAGAATTTAAAATCCTTTTAACATAGGTATATGTGAGTTTGTACATACAAGCCTGACTCCCCACCCTCATTTCCTTTAAAAAAGAGAGAGAGAGAGAGAGAGAGAGAGAGAGAGAGAGAGAGAGGGAGAGAGAAAGAAGAAGATACCACATCTCACCAGGGAAAGAAAATTCCTAAGTACAGACATGCATAAAATTTAAGATTGCAGTCACTTTAGTCAAAATTTAATAAAAATTTTCTGTTTTGTTACTGAGAACCACCACTTTCCTCTCCCCCTACTCCGATATGGCCAAAATAGAATCATCTAAACATGTTTTGAATGTAAAAATCATTGATATGTTTATTATACAGCAAAAGATAAAGGATGCATCCCTTAAAAATGGAGGTAATACTCGTCTTGATCTCATGGGGTTTTCGTGTGGATTAAATGAATTAATAGTTCTTGACACATAGAAACTGCTGCAAGAATGTAAATTGTGGTTGCCGAGTGATTTAAATGCTACCCATGTTTGACTAGCTTAATGAGTTGTAGATTAAAAGCAAAACTTTCACTGTGCCTATAGTAAGACATTTTTACTACATTGAGCTTCAATCTTTGGATCCCCCACCTGAACACCAGGCAAAGAAAACCAGGAATCCTGAGGAGAAAGTCCTGATGGCTGCCAGTCAAGCCCCTAGCATTTGTTGGCACTACACCTCCTCACCCTGTGCCCCTGGGCAATTCTAACTCCCTTCAGGAGAAAAGTTCAGCAATCTCACTAAAGGTTAGCTAACGGTCCTGAAATACTTAAGTGACAACTGTATTGTGTTTGATAGGAAACTGAAATATGGTAGCAACCATACTTGGGTAAAAACTGTTTGAATTTTAACCCTTCTAGTCTGACTCCTGCACTTGATTAAACACAGTATAGTTACCCCAGCTTCCAGGTGGAGACCTGGAGGCTAAGGCAATTTCCCCGTCCTGGGACCAGGACTACAGGAGATTGATTCCCACTGACTCAGTAGCTTCAGGGGTAGAAACTAGATAACCTTTAGAGACCAACCGCTGAGCTCTGCTTCTGTATTATCAGCTATCTCAAGATAGGGCCACATTTCAATGTCCAGCAGGATGTGACTGGAAATGACCCCGCAGGCTGTTCCCAGTCTTTAGAATTTATAACAAAGGAAAATTCTTGTGGTTTAGGCCTTTAAAAGAACTGCCTACACCTGGAAAGGTGCAGTTGTGTGGACTCCAGCTGCATGTGGTGCTCTGGAGGCCATCCTGGCCAGTTTTTCAATAAATCCTTCTAATCAATCATCAGCCTCTGGTGGTCTTATTTTGAACCCAGGGTTCGACCCCACAGCAGAGACACAATGCTAAACCTTTAGGCCACCATCTCAATGGCTTGAAAACTGGGATGTACCCATTGGCCCTTCTCAGACTCCTTTTATCCCATTGGGTAAACCAGGAGCTACCAGTTGGGTGTTTATGATACAGCTGCAGATAAGGCAAATTACTGATTTCTTCATCTTTAAAACAGTGACCTCTGAGGTCTCTTCCAACTTTTAAGTTCCAATTCTATCTTATATAGCAGGTCATGTGGCTGGAGGCCCCTGGCTATGTCTGAAAAGCCTTTCTGAGTCCCCAATAGCAGATGAGAACCTGTGCATGTTCATTGCACAGCCACAGAACCAATGCATGTTTAGAAAAAGCACCTCCTTGTTAACTTGATCTTTTTAGCTGGTTGCTTAGGTTATTGTTACAAAACGTGTTTGTATAATGGTGTGTATGACTGATAAGACTAGGAGGTGGTTTTCTTTATTTTTCTTCTGGTTGCTTCTCTCCAGCTGGTATATTATTTTAAGAAAGAAAGGGAGAAAGGAGAAGTTTCACACATTTATAACCCTTAACTTGTTCAAGGGTAATACTCATAGTGAGTAAACAGGCATGATATATGTGCCTTATTGTATAAACACAGTGTTTCTATTTATCTGAGGCAAGGTCAGGCTTATGGTGACTTTGAAAAATGAATCATAAAAACCTTTGGAGCTTAGGGTTAGTTTTACAAATGAGGACACTGAGCTTCAGAGTGACTAACGGCTTTGTTCACCAGAACTAGCCAGAGACCAAGGCGAAACTAGGACCCTGGCCTCTGACAACCAGCCCAAATCAGTGCTTATCACGTTGGGATTGTTAATAGGAGCAGCACATGTGACTAATTTAAAAAGGAATAGTTTAAACAGTAATGCTGAAAAATATTTTATGGATTGCAGGGAAGTGATCTTTAACACATACTTGAAACAGTGTTAAGAGCCATAGTTCTTATCTGCTGGACTCAGCTGCAGCCAGCAAAAATTTTGGAACCTCTACTACTAATACCAAGCACTCTGTGAATAATGAATGATGGCCCTTGTCCTGGGGATACAGAGAGGCTCATGAGTGAGTTAGGCATGTGGAAAAAAATCAATTGGTTATGCTCGTCTTTTATCGTGTGTACATTTAAAAAATTCTGGGCAAGAATAAAATACCTACAGTCTTTTTAATAGGTAGTATAAAACTTTTATTCTTGGTCTGTGTTTTGTTTTTAACACATAAAGAGTATACTAGAGGATTCTTCTAGAATATATGAAGATAATGTACAAAGAGCAACTGTTCACTCATTAGAATTGGCAACATGGGTAATTCAAGATATTAAAGTTTCAAGTATCATGTATTTTTATTTTTTTACCCTTCACAGTAACAGAAAGAGAATGAGGTGAGAGAGTTATTTGGGGCATCATGCATATTTAATTTCAAAGAACAACCAGTTAAGAACAAGAAGGTTTTGCCCAGCTGGTTGGTGTTGCTCAGTGGTTGAGCACTGAGCTATGAGCCAGGAGGTCACAGCTTCATTCCCGGATATCTGCCCAGGTTCATTCTCAGAGGGCAAGCAAGAGGCAGCTGCTCAATGCTTCTTTCTCATCATTGGTGTTTCTATCTCTCTTCCCTCTCCCTTCCTCTCTCAAATCAATAAAAATATATTGAAAAAAAAAAAAAAAAAACAAAGAGCCCCCCCACCCCTTCAGGATTGTTAATACAGTTCAAAAGATTTTGCTGATTTATAACCTCAGTTCTGGACAATTTATCCCTCTTCAAATATTTCTAAAGGTTTCTAAGATGGGTGGAAAATCAAAATAAAATGTTGACTTTGAAATGATGCAGGGTTTATTTTTATTTTTTAAAAAGGTGTCCTTAATTTCCCCCCCACACGTGGCTGACAGAGGATAGAAAGAACCCTGTAGACTCATGTACGTGGACCAAATCGGGGTGGCCCCCGGGAGAGGGCCAGGCCACTTTGGGCAGGCTCATGATTCTTAAACACCAAACTCCAAGTTAGACATCTACAGATATGAAGTCTGTGGGGATAATGTCTGCTCTTGATTGCTAGGAAAACCCTGGAGTCATGAAGTCGTATGTCGGGTATAGGAAGGGGGGGAGGGTAGTGGAATGCCTTTTTGTCTCTCCAAATGTTTCTTGAGCATTTTCTGTGACTTTCTGTTAATATAGGGAACATGGATTTTTTTTTAAGGCCCTACCCTCTAGAAAATTATTTAATAAAGACCTAATAGATATGCTTAAACCCAGCACCTCAGAAACAATGCATTAATGTGGTTTTAAACAATGTAGTTTGATATAAATTGTGCAGCCTTGAGTTAAGATTGAGCCAAAAAACAAAACGTCACCCTACCTGAGTTTCTAACCACAACACTTCCATTCTCTTTCAGAAAAGAGCAGAGGGATCTGTCCCTCTGTCACCACCCCTCCTCTGCCTCCCACCCCCCTTACACTGCATAAACCACATCCCAGGGCATTTGGCAAGGCCTCTCCATCCGTTTTCCTGGCCCAGGTCCCCTTCTGCTTCCAGACCGCCAGGAGAGCACATGTTGGTGCTCACTGCTGCCACCACGAGGGAAAGTGTGAGAATGCAGCACCTTTTCTTTCTGCTTTTATGAAACTCAAGAAATACAGAAGTAACAAAGCTTTCCCTTTTAAAACTTCCTCTCATCTTTTTCTTTCTTTCATGTTCCTTATTTTTTGAGGAAGATTAATAAACATTTAATAACCATACAAAGATACAGTTACCATCTGAACAATTTCTCCTTTCAAATTCACCAGGGGGAAGAGGGGCTTAGGGGACTATTTCTCACTATTTTACCAGCTGTGATTGAAGTTTCTTGTAATGCTTAGAGCCCGGTGAAAAACAGCTGGTCCATTCAGAAGTGAAGACAATCAATTTAAACCACCTGTGCACATTAAATGTTGGAATATGCCTTCATGACTTTTGAACATCCTTCTTTGCAGACTTGACAGTCAAACTAGTATGTTCAAAATTTCAAACCACAGTGCTCATCCTACCTCTGTCCAATCCATTACACTGTATTAATTAACAAGCCATAACATTCTCTCCCAGAGTGTCATCTTATTCTGTTAGAAAAGAAGCACTGACTAGGGTGAACCAAATAAAATAAAAAGACCTTCCACTTTTACAACTATTTGCCTTTGTAAAGGAGGAGGAACCTGATCCTTATTCGGCTCCTGTGAAGTCTGGAGTGGTGGATGCATACAAGTATTTCTCCCCACCGAGTTTACCTGGACTTCATTATCTCGCCTCTCCGCTCGGGACCCCATACAGCGAATGCTTTAGAGCAAGAGCATAGTTGGAGAAGATTCGGTTTCCAATACTGGTTTTTTGCTAGCGTATCACACATGAAGATCTAAACCGGGGAAATGGTTTTCCTACTCAGCTCTGGGTATTGTCATAGAATCCAAGAGAGAGAGAAAAAGAGGAGTGCTCTTACCATTGTCATTGCCTTGCCTGATCTCCTCCGCTGTCCGATCTATTAAGACATACAAGGACCACACCACACACGTGATGGCGATGACGTGGAATGTGACAGAGCAGAATATTTTCCTCCTTTCACTCGTGGTCATCTGCAGTTTCTCCCACTGCAATCAGAAACAAATGACAGGAGGCTGAATTTCTAACGAGGACATTTTTGGCCTCCATTTACACCCCACACAGAGATCAAGACTGGAAGGAAAACATGAAATGTTTGCCTTGCCGGAAGACACTCATGTTCAAATTAGTCTCCATGAAATCATAACCTGTGGCATTATAGATAACTTGGGTGACTATTACAATGAAAATGGCATTTTCCTAGTGTCCAAATGAACCAAATCAAGTCACTTCTGTTTTGCTAGCGTATAGTTTCCTTGCTCCATAACATGAATGGGATACTTGTAATATTTTGAGAAAAAAAATTCCTTCCAGGGTTCTGCATCTCACTTCTTTGCGGCACTAGGTTACAAATACTGGTAGCAATAAATAATCTCTTCTTGGATGAATACGTAACCTGAGACAGTGTTGCATTTTTTAATGTATAAGTCCAACAAAATAGTTGAATGGCTGGATGATATCTGTGAGAGGAAGTCAACATGGGTTCACAAGTCTTCCAGAAAACATTACTTTTGTTATCTGGGCAATGTGAGAAAAGCAGCTGAGGCCCCTTTGCAAGCTAGTCTTGATTTTCCGCTGTCACCAAGATTACAATGGCTGCTGTGTGCGCCCGTCCCCCACCCTCCCCCAGTCACCCTCTGCGCAGGGAGTTGAGGGCTGCTGCCTCCGTCTGGGAGAGGAGCGGGGCACTATTTAACGTTAGAGTCATAATGAAGGGTTACATGGGGGAATGTGCCCATTATTAACTTAAAAATATTTTTATTGATTTTTTTTTTTTTGAGAGAGAGAGAAAGAGAGAGAGAGAGAGAGAGAGAGAGAGAGAGAGAGAGAGAGAGAGAGAGAGAGAGAGAGAGAGAGAGAGAGGGAGGGAGAGAAACATCCATGTGAGAGTAGAAGATCAGTTTGCTGCCTCCTGCACACCCACTGCCACGGATTGGGTGTACTGGGCCCATCCCTACCAACGGAGCCACACCAGCCAGGGCAAGTTCCTTATTAACTTGGAAGAAATAGACCCCCAAATGAAATTGCGAATGCTTTGACAGAGTATCACTTCATTTTTGCATGAGGAACTGTGATTTTATTTTTCTTTGCATTATTTCTGTAGGAAAATCTAATCACTATGATCTTATTAGAAGTGACTTCATGTGCTAAGCTTTTAATAATCTATGATTCTTTGTATTCTTTATTTACAATGTTCTTGTTAAAACAAAATCTTTAGAACTTCAAAGACCACCACCCCCACATAAAATTTCATGCACAATCCAATAGAAAACAAGAGGGCATACATTATGGTCCATAAAGCCCTGGTTCTGAGACATGGGTGAAGTCCTTTAACCTCTCTAGGCCCACTTGCCTCATCATAAGATGCAAATTGTGTCCAAGGTTACGCCAGAGCACTTTGGGGAGAGGATGTCATTCTTTTCTTCCTTTATTAACAGACTAGAGGTTCAGTGCATGAAATTTGTGCATGGGATTAAGGGCGGGGGGTGGTCACTCAGGCAGGCCTGCAACCCTCTTGCAATCTGGGACCTTTCAGACATCCCTCTCATAATCCAGGACTATTGGTTCCTAACTGCTCACCTGCCCACCTGACTGCCCCTAACCACTCTGCCTGCCTGCCTGATTGCCCCTAACCATTCACCTGCCTGCCTGATTGCCCCTAACTGCCTTTGCCTGCCTGCCTCCTCGCCCCTAGCCACTTGCCTGCCTGACTCATTACTATTGTCTCTGGTCGTTCTGGTTGTCCCACCGTTTCAGTTGCTGGGCTTTTATTATATAGGACTAGGAATTCTACAAGAGCCAGCATTGTGCCCAGAGCAGAGCTGCTTTCCAACCTTCCCTGGCAGAGGCGGACATTGGCTGTTTTCCAACAATGAGATATGAGCAGCTGTCTATGAGCATATGGAGTTTTAGCCATCCAGACCTGGAATTGTCCCTTCCCCATCTCCTTCATTTCCTCTTCTCTGCTACCTGCAATTCATCGTTAACAGTACGAGTACCAGCAGTCATCTTGCAACCTGGAGAAACAGCCTTGCGTGTTGGGAAGACCTCAGCCCGATGAGCAACAGCCCCTCCATTGTTGCCACTCACATGGGAGGAAAATAAAGCCCAGTTGGATTGAGCTGTATTTCCCAGGACCCTGTTACTTGCTGTCAAAGCAACTGCTGATCAGTGACTGAGGTGGATGCTTCCTCACTTTCCTTCCAGGATGACAGTGAAGGTCCTATCTTTTCTTTTCGAGAAGAGCACAATACTTCGAGTCTGATCAGGAGGCTCCAGAAAGCTTCTTAGAGAAAACTATGTTTTATTTATAAACACCATCGGTTTCTCTCCCCTCACTGGCCAATCAGCACACAGTTTTCTTTATAAGTGTTTATTAGAGCCAATGAATAATTCATACTTCATCTTGTACTTGCTTTTTTCATCAAACTACGTTTTACATAATAGTCCACATAAATAATGGAGAGATCTTAGTCACGGGGCTAGGGGAAAGCCACATGCTTCAATATAGAATCTATTTTAATTAACCAAAACTGAATGGAAAAAAATTTTAGTTTGCGTATCTCAGTTTTCACAGATAAGCCTGATTTTAAAAAATTTGCTTTGTTATGGATCTATTGTAATGTTAATCTGAGTCATCTGTGTAAGTAGAGAATTATCATTTGGTGATAGCATTTTGTGATTTAATAACTGTTTTTCTTGCATCAGCTCAGTATTCAATGGGACCAAATACACAGTGCAGGCTGCTACAGAAAAGCAGTTTTCATTCTAAGTGTTCCGAGTGAGTGAGAATACCTTCAGTAACAAAATATGCATATCAAATCAACCCTCAATGGTAAAACTGGCTTTAGAAAAAATAAATCCATAACAATGGGGTCTTCTTAAATTTGAGAATTTTGATGCTGTGGCTGGAACACATTCTTCCAAATGAATGAACCTCAAATAGAAAAGTATCAGGGGCTGGCAAGGATGGACCACGTCAGGTAGACTCCTGGTTGCAGACAGTAGAAATTCTGAAGTTGTCACTTCCTAATCTCGCGAGTTTTTTAAAAAGTGAAGTGCGAAGGGACCACCTACGTTTCCCACTTTATAAATCCTGCAGGGACTATTCAGGAATTCACGGACAGCACACGGGGAAATGTGGTACCACTGCGCCCTCCTCTGCACGATCAAGTTACTGCATACTGTGGTCAGCACAGTGAATGGTAAAATCTCAGACATAATGGACTAATTCGGGCAGGGGCTGTCGGTTAAACATAAAAGTCCGTTACATAATAAAGTAGGTTTTCCAAGCGCATATGTAGAAAATTACAAATTAGTTAGTTTACCTGTTTTACGTATGTAGACCTTGTTTGTAATTAAAATGAAGTACACAGGGAAAGCTTAATTTCACAGAGAAGTTTTCTATATGTATTACAGTCATTTTACATTTTTTTTCTGAATAGATCTAGTAAATGCATGTGCCCACCAGTCACTGAGAGTAAACAAATGTACATGGCTGGGGCGTGGCTCAGTGCATGGGGGAACATTGTGGGCACAGGTTACAACCGCGGCAGGAAGCCACAGCAGGAGACCACAGAACCAATTATCCCGCGTGATGCGGTGTCACCACGTGATACCCATTCAGTGTGATCACGAGCTAATCACTTGGTGTGATTATCTGCTAATCATTCAGCTGACCATTCAGAGACCCGTGACTCTGGATTTTCATATGTAGACTATAGTTGCAGATAGGTAACATTTATTTATGTCAGTGAAATCACTAAAGCGTTTTTTCCAACGTATGGCCTATTTGCTAAAATTTGTTAAAAATAACAGTGAATTAATAACTATATATATATATATATCTTGTTAATTTAATTATAAGCAAATCCTGGTTAAAAGCAATTTAACTTTTAACAGGGTGTTAATTTTCACATATGACACATGGGCTGGAAATTTGTCTGTTAAATCCAAAGTCCGTTAAATTGATGTCTGAAAAACCAAGGGTTTACTGTATTTTATGAAATGTTCGTCCATATCCTTGCATTTCTAGGTTCGTATACAAAGTGTGGACAAGTGTTACAAGCCTACACAGGGAGGCATGGATGAAGAAGGCGAGGACAGAATTCTTATTTTAACAAAGAGGTCAGGAAAGGGCCTTAGTTTAATATTTGGGATGCTGACGTTTAATAAAAGTGATAGGAAAGTGATAAAATGCACATAAGCATTTGCGCTCCCCTGCCCAGTTTTATAGAATAACATATGCTTATGCCCTATGACCACGTGTGTGAGACTCACCCCTGTGACCTCTGCAGGCAGGGCTAATTAGAAAGCAGAGCCTCCTGCGGCGCTTGGCAGCACCACCTGGCACCTGTTAGAGATGCAAACTCCCAAGCTCCTCCTTGACATGGTCCTCTGTTGGCTGCGCCCTGCAGTGGATGAAGGGCGGCTCTCTGATGAGACAGCAACCTCATGTTCACTTTGCCACCCGCAGGGAGCCAGGGCCACAGACTTCCCTACGGTATTGAGGTTGTTTATGAGTAAAATATTGGCCCTCAAACCCCTCTGTTTTAGGGTGACACGTGTCTCTCCACGTGGTGTCAGTGAAGCTGGTGGAAATGTGAGGGCAGGCCATGCACCACAGTGCACCACCCAGCTTTCCATAACGCTTCACACTGCCAGCTCCCCCGCGCCCCCCACCGGTCACCAAGGTCTCTCCACCTTCACAGCGGGACACAAGCTAAGGTGGGCAAAGCCAGCGGCACCTAGTGGTCTCCGACATTGCTTTAGGCTGTGTAGTCGCTGGGTCTTTGGTAGCTGGTTTATTTTTCTTGGCCTTTGCTCCCTTGCAGAAAGCCCTCAACAGTAGGAAGAATGAAACGGAACTTCGTTATGCATTTAGAAATAGTTATAGAATAGCTGCAGAGATGTCAAGTACAGCATAGGGAATCCTATTGAACAAAAGGCTACTATGCAAATCAACTGGACAGAGGAACGAGTGGTCGCT